ATCATTTAGAGATTGTTGGAGCAGAAAAAACATCTACATTTTAAAGCAATCGATTGTGTGCACAGCAGATGTGAAACATAAGACATATTGATGTGGGAGGAAGAAAACAGAAGTGGTCACAACATACAAGGAAACGTACAGTACAACACAGCACATCAAGACAGGTTGTGGGATTTGAAGCAGCAGTTTTTCCTGGCAAAGCTTTCAAGTTCCTTGTCCACCTCGGAGCACCCTACCTGTCAGGACTTTGGCTTGTGCATTTAACAAGAGTTGAATGAGAAGCTCCCTACCCCCATGACTGGCCCTCCAAATCCCACTGATGAGCCAGGCTGGCCTGACCTGTCTCCATCCGTGCCCTGGAGTACTGCGGGGCCACCTGGCTCAGGAACCAGACCAGACACAGAGGGTGGCTGACATACTTAGATTTCTGTGGCCAAACCCATCACCCTGGACCACTTTGACTGTGAGGACACCACGTTTATCTCCCCAACAAACCAGATACAGCAATAACAGCAGGTGAGCGAGAGAGAAAAAAAGATAAATTGATGCCTTACCAATAATGCCAACTGCTGAGAGGATAGGATAGTAGAATGTCACTATGTCTGAAACTATCATAACTAAAGCAAAGTAATTGTTCATTTTCTTTCAGAGGAGCTGGTGCTGTTGATGCTGCAGGTCAGTTCCGCACTGGAGCTCTGATTTGCTGACACAGCACAGCCTTCATATGTATAGAGGGTAAATTTCCCATGAGAGAACAACATTACACAATCTCTGAGATTAGTTCAGTGTTGTACACAATGATTGTGAGAGAGAACAGCACTGCAACATGTTTAAACATTTCACATGTCCATCAGACTGTCAGCCCAACCTTAAGTCAACACTTCAAACTCACAGCATTTCTGCCCTTCTGAACTCTCTGGAGATTAATTTACATTGTCCATGATGTCTGTCTGTTAACAGCAAGCATTTCCATAAAGCAGATTATTCCGAGGGTTTTGAAGCCGATCTCAGGTGCACACCACACTCACACATGTCATCATTTCCCTGTGGGATTTACGCTTTTCAATCCAGTTGGGAATTTGCAATGACTATCGTGGGAGCATAAGGCCACACTCTTACTGTTCCCACTTTTACTCTGTTTGAAATGAGATCTCCAGGTACTGAGGATTATTCCAATCATTGCATTTTGAGAGAGCACCTTTCCCATCGGGAGGATGTCTCAGAGCGATACTGTAAAGCATAGGTACTCTATTTTGCAAGTGAGCACAGCAGCCAATTTACTTCAAACACTTTTCCAAATAGAGCGCTGCATGTTGGAAAACCCTCTGTGTAAACAATTCTATTGTTTTTATGTGTGCAGTTGGTATTTGTGTGATGGCCTGGTTTGGTTGGTAGTGGCCGTACCTCTGAGTAAAATGGTTGTGGATTAAAGCCCACATTGGGGGCTTGGACTCACACGATCTCACCAGACACTGCAAAAGATCATTAAATCCTTTGGGCACCATGTCACACTTAAACCTCTCAGAAAGTTCTGACTTATTTCCTGGAGAACTCCGGTACAAAATCAAACACCTCATTGGAGGTTAAACCTTTTTTGTTGGCGACGTAAAACTTAATAGTTAGGGACTTTTACTGTGTAATTTGCAAATCATATAAATTCAAGCTAGACTATAAACCAAAGGCCCTTTAATATGCAACAACAACAACAACATTACATTTGTATGGAGCCTTTCATGATAGGAGGACATCCCAAGGCACTGGACAGACAGAGTTACGGACCCGAGCTTGAATTGATGCAATTTTGGATGCCAGAACGTATGAAATTTGAATGAAAGCGCGTGATTCATGCTATCATTCAAATCACAGCTCAGCCCCACCCAGCACATCGGCTCTAAACGCGTCTGAAAAAAGATTGATACGATCTCCGCTCCGTGTAGACAAGGCAGATGGAGAATGTTTGGCGGCTGGAGGATATTATCCCAGGGCCCGACACAGCCCTGTGGGCACCCAGTTGGACCACCCTATATTTATTGGTAACGTTTCAAAAGGATTGGAAGAACAGAGAGGCGCAGTGTGTCGGCCTGGCTCAGTTGGTAGGGCTCTCAGCTTTCAATCCAGAGGTGGTGGGTTGGAGTCCCATTTTTGGAATTGGAACTCATATTGTCTAACATGACAGCGCAGCACTGGGAGTTGTTGCATTGTCGGAGGTGCCGTCCATCAGTTGAGATGTTAAAGGACTCCCCTTTTGACTGTTCAGGTGGTTGTAAAGATCTCATGGCAATGTTCGAAAAGAGAAGGGATTTTCTCCGTGCCAGTCTCCTGGCCAACAATCCTCCAAATTAAGTTGGTCACTCACCCCACGGTGGTCACTCACATTAATAATAACACTATTAATAATAAACCTTGAATTTGATATAGAACCTCATTATGTCATTAAGACATCTACATCTCACAGGATCTACTGTAAAGTGGTTTGACTGTATTTTGTGGGTGAAACATAGCAGCCAGTTTGCACACAGCAATACCCCACAAATGGCCTTGGGGTGAATGAGCAATATAATTTGGGGAATTGTTCACCAGAAACCGGGAGAAACTTCCACCTCTTTTTGAACAATGCCATGAGCTCCTTAATGTCCACCTGAAATACTTCAAATGATCATTATTTTAGACCAGAAACAATCACTTTGAACTTTAAAAAGAGGCAGTTTGTAGTTCATTGTATTTTTCTGCAGATTCTATGTGTGATTTCGTTAGTTATGAGACACAATATATTTCAAAGGTTTCAGATTGCTCTCTTTTCCAAGTTATCAATAGCTTTGTCAAAGGGGTGGGGTGGGGGGTGGTGTGAGGTGCCTATAAACATGGTCGAAGAGAAACGTTTTCAGCAGGACAGGAAAAAGGGGAGCGAGGGGACAAGGCGGGGGATTGAGGGAGTGTGTTCCAGCGTTTTCAACGTAGTGGCTGAAAGCGCAACCTCCGATGGTTGGGCGGAGGGTGCGAGGGATGAGCAGGAGCCGGGGCCAGTCGAGCGGAGGTGTCAGGCGGTGGATTGGGGAGTGAGAAGGCAGGAGAGGTTGGGAGGTGCCAGAGAGTGAAGGGATTTGAACACGAGTGTGAGAATCTTGCAGTCAATGTGTTGGGTGATGGGGAGCCAGAGGAGCCTGGGCCAGAGCTGGTGAGGTGTGGGGACGGAGTTTGGTCGGCTCAGGATGTGGGCGGCAGAGTCTGAATGAGCTGATCTTGTGAATAGTGGAGCTGGGGAGACCCGTGAGGAGTGCATTTGAATAGTCCAGGTACGAGGTGACAAACACATGGACGAGGGTTTCAGCTGGATTTGGGGTAATGGTTGGAGAGTGTCTTCTATCTTGTCCACATTCAGCTGCAGGAAGTTTGCACTCATCCAGGCACTGATATCTGCCAGACAAACTGATAGACCATCGGGGACCTGGAGTTGGTGCTGGAGGAGGCAAAGTAGATTTGTGTGTCATCCACATACATGTGGAAGTATACTGGTGTCTGGGGATGACATTGCCCAGAGGGAGCATATAGATAAGGAAAAGAAGAGGCCAAGGATGGAGCGCTGGGGTACCCGCAGGTGCCTTGCGGGGGCAGGGGCATGTGAGTGCGGTCCGACTAACGATGGTGAGGGAGGAGCGGTGGTGGAGGAGGACGGCCTAGTCGACTGTGTTAAACACGGTAGAGAGATCCCAGTGATCGTCGAGGCAGAGGAAGCCCTGGTCACAGATAGAGAGGATGCTGTTTGTAACTTTGACAAGTGCTGCTGTGCGCTGTGGGCAGTCCGGGCAAAAACCAGACTGTAGGGGCTCGAGGAGGGAATGGAGGGAGAAGTGGCTTCTGGGTCCATTGGCTGTGGTCACAAGAGAGAGGAAACTGTACAAGGTACTGGTATTACACTGTATGTTGTACATGGTGACAATAGTCCAGAATCTCGGTCAAAGGTTTGTTAGCTACCAAGGTAGGGAGAGCAAACAAGTTAATAATTATTTCATTATAACCTCCCTTTGATCTTGCAACACGTTGACAAGCTGTTTAATGACTTGCTGGAAACCAGGTGTGGTCAGTTATATCACCTGTTGTGTCCGAGTTTCTCAGCCACAGTAGTTATTTATTGTGTACCAGCAGTAGGGGATGAGGGGCTGTGGACCTGTCAGGTTCATGTTCCTCCGTCAAGCCAAGATTTCATTTATCACCAAAGTCGATGTGTGATCACATCTAATATTTATTTTAGTATTTTAAAAAATACGTCATGTGCACAAAGTGGCTTTCTCCGCTGCTGGTGGGGAGAGAATGGGGACATGGAGTTAGGATGGGAAGCGAGTGGGTGGACCCCCACAAATACAGAAGTGGAAAGAGGGGCGGGCAAGGGCATGGAGGCAATTGAAGGTTAGAACAGGAATGTAAAGCACAAATCATAATCTTACTGAAATATCAGTGTGGATCCTGGTGTATTGGGGAAGGAGGGGAGGATTGTGTAGGGAGTTTGTGTAGGGAGGGGGAGTTTGTGTAGGGAGGGGGAGTTTGTGTAGGGAGTGGGAGTTTGTGGAGGGAGGGGGAGTTTGTGGAGGGAGGGGGAGTTTGTGGAGGGAGGGGGAGTTTGTGTAGGGAGGGGGAGTTTGTGTAGGGAGGGGGAGTTTGTGTAGGGAGAAGGAGATTGTGTGGCGAGAGGACAGAGATCGATGGTGCGGATGTGGGAAGAGGAAGAGTAAATACTGAAAGGTTGGATTAACCAGACATTATTAATCAGGAGAGTAAATACCCCGGCCCCTCCCGATAGGGAATGTCCACGTGTTCAGGAGAGAGATCGGGATTATTGTTCTCAGGGTCTATTCCTGGTTCCACATTTACTGGGTTTCTTACCTTCTCCCTCTGGCTCTTCGCCCATATTGTTTTTACACTGAACTTTGCTCCATTTCCACATCAATCTCTTTGCCGACCAATCACTGGCATTGTTCACAGTCCCCGAAGGTGTGTCAATCGGAGTGGAGTGAACTCTGTCACAGGACGGGACACACAGCAGCAACACTGACACTGAAGCAGTTTAACCCACAGAGACCTGAGGGTGAACATGGCTTCCAGAGATCAGGTCCAGCGTCTGACCGAGGAGTTAAACTGTCCCATTTGTCTGGATTTCTTTACTGATCCTGTTACCCTGGAGTGTGGCCACAACTTCTGTCGCTCTTGTATCACCCGGAGCTGGGAAAAGCAGGAGACAAACTCCTGCCCGGAATGTCGGCAGGTTATAGCCAAAAGGAATCTCAAGGTTAATTGGGCTCTGGTCAAAATTGTGGAGAAAGCTCAGGAACTGAGCCTGGCCTCAACAGAGATGGCAATTAAACGTCACTGTGAGAAACACCGGGAGGAACTGAAGCTGTTCTGTGAAACGGACAAGAAATTGCTGTGTGCAGTTTGCAGTCATGGGCAGGAACACAGAGGTCACAGCTTCCTGCCCATTGAGGAAGCTGCTGAAATCTACAAGGTAACAACAATAATAATAATAATAATAATAATCCTTGCATTTGATATAGCGTTTTTCACGTCGGGAGAACGTCCCAAAGTGCTTCACAGAACACACTGTAAAGTGAATTGACTGTATATTTGTGGGCGAACGCGGCAGCCAATTGCGCACAGCAATGTCCCACAAACAGTTGTAGATTGAAAATGACCAATTTATTATTGTTTTTGGTTTTGGAGGGATTATTATTAGGCTCTGTGTGGAGTAAGGAAACTTGCCCGAGGTTTGGCCCTCTGCCTGGAATTGATCTCAGGTCTCTCGATTTCAAAGCGAGTGCTCTAACCACTGAGCTACAGGACTCCACAATACCCCTCACGAGGGACTAAACCTGTTCCACTTGATATTTTCACATTCAAACACTTTTATTCTGTGTGTCTATTTCAGGGTAAAGTGAAATCCTCCTTCGCTTCTCTCACACAGAGGAAGGAAACTGCTCTACAAACTGAAGCCAAACAGAGACAAAAGATGTCACAACTTAAGGTAATTTGTGTCGGGGCTGATTTCTGGGCTCTCAGTGTGACTCTGTTTATTGTGTGTACACAGTGTGATGTCTCAGTGTCTCTCTTTACTGTGTGTACATGATGTGATGTCTCAGTGTCTCTCTTTACTGTGTGTACACGATGTGATGTCTCAGTGTCTCCCTTTACTGTGTGTACACGGTGTGTATCAAGCTACCGGCCCATCTCCAACCTCCCTTTCCTGTCCAAGGTCCTTGAAAGAGTTGTGGCCTCCCAGCTGCGCTCTTTCATCTCCACTCATTCATTATTCGAACCCCTTCAGTCGGGTTTCCGTGCTGCCCATAGCACAGAAACTGCCCTGGTCAAGGTCACCAACGACATCCTGACCATCTGTGACCAGGGCTCCCTCTGCCTCCTCGTCCTCCTCGACCTATCGGCAGCATTCGATACGGTCGACCACTCTATCCTCCTCCACCGCTTGTCCTCCCACCTCAACCTTCAAGGCCCTGTCCTTGAGTGGTTTAGGTCGTACCTCTCCCACCGTCTTCACTTTGTTTCCACGAACGGCTTTTCCCCCCCCCGCACTGTCTCGTGCGGTGTCCCTCAGGGCTCTGTCCTCGGTCCCCTCCTCTTCACCCTCTATATGCTCCCCCTGTGGTGACATCATCCGCAGACATGGGGTTAACTTCCACATGTATGCGGATGACACCCAACTCTACCTTTCCTCCTCTACCCTCAACTCCACGACCCCGATGTCCTGACAGCTGTCTGTCCGACATCGAGTCCTGGACGAGAGACAACTTTCTTCAGCTCAACGTGCGCAAAACTGAGGCCCTCCTGATTGGCTCACGTCAGCGCCTCCGCACCTCAGGCGCTGACAGCATCAGCATCCAAGGCGCACTCTCCACCTCTCAAAGCCATCAGGAACCTCGGGTTCTGTTCGACCCTGAGCTGTCCTTTCTCCCTCATATCCCCACAACTGGCACCGCCTTCCATCACCTCCGGAACATCGCCAGACTACGGCACTACCTCACCCCTCACGCGGCTGAAACTCTGGTCCACGCCTTTATCACCTCAAGGCTGGACTATGGGAACTCTCTCCTCGTCGGCCTTCCCGCACCTCCCTCCACACTGCAGGTCATTCAGAACTCTGCAGCTCGTGTACTGTCCCGCACCAGACACCGCGACCACACATCACTCACCCTCACTCCCCTCGCCCTCCTCGCCTCCACTGGCTCCCCATCCCCCAGAGGATCGAATTCAAGATCCTCATCCTCACCTACAAGGCCATTCACGGCCTTGCTCCCTCCTACCTCTCTGACCTACTATCCCCCTACCTACCTGCCCGTACCCTCCGTTCCTCTGGCTCCGGTCTGCTCCACATCCCCCGCCCCAACCGCCCTACCATCGGTGGCCTTCAGCCTCTCAGCCCCGAGGCTCTGGAACTCTATCCCCAGTGCCTTCGCCGCTTCCTCCCTTTCCTCCTTCAAGGCCGGTCTCAAGACCTTTCTCTTTGACCGTGCCTTCAGCTCCCCTCTCGACTCTCTACCCCCTCCTCGCTCCCTCCCTTCCCTCCCCTCACCATGACCATTTTCCCCCAATGCTCGGGTCCTGACCCAACTGTACAGCGCATTGGGACGTCCTCCCGACGTGAAGGCGCTCTATAAATGGAATCTTGTTGTCGTTGTTGTGGTGATGTCTCAGTGTCTCTCTTTACTGTGTGTTCACGATGTAATGTCTCAGTGTGACTCTGTTTACTGTGTGTACACGGTGTGATGTCTCAGTGTCTCTTTACTGTGTGTACACGGTGTGATGTCTCAGTGAGTCTCTCTTTACTATGTGTACACGGTGTGATGTCTCATTGTCGCTCTTTACTGTGTGCACACGGTGTGATGTCTCAGTGTCGCTCTTTACTGTGTGTACACGGTGTGATGTCTCAGTGTCTCTCTTTACTGTGTGCACACGGTGTGATGTCTCAGTGAGTCTCTCTTTACTATGTGTACACGGTGTGATGTCTCAGTGTCTCTTTACTGTGTGTACACGGTGTGATGTCTCAGTGTCTCTCTTTACTGTGTGCACACGGTGTGATGTCTCAGTGTCGCTCTTTACTGTGTGCACACGGTGTGATGTCTCAGTGTCGCTCTTTACTGTGTGCACACGGTGTGATGTCTCAGTGTCGCTCTTTACTGTGTGCACACGGTGTGATGTCTCAGTGTCTCTCTTTACTGTGTGCACACGGTGTGATGTCTCAGTGTCGCTCTTTACTGTGTGCACACGGTGTGATGTCTCAGTGTCTCTCTTTACTGTGTGCACACGGTGTGATGTCTCAGTGTCTCTCTTTACTGTGTGCACACGGTGTGATGTCTCAGTGTCTCTTTACTGTGTGCACACGGTGTGATGTCTCAGTGTCTCTTTACTGTGTGCACACGGTGTGATGTCTCAGTGTCTCTCTTTACTGTGTGTACATGGTGTGATGTCTCAGTGTCGCGCTTTACTGTGTGCACACGGTGTGATGTCTCAGTGTCGCTCTTTACTGTGTGTACACTGTGTGATGTCTCAGTGTCGCTCTTTACTGTGTGCACACGGTGTGATGTCTCAGTGTCTCTCTTTACTGTGTGCACACGGTGTGATGTCTCAGTGTCTCTTTACTGTGTGCACACGGTGTGATGTCTCAGTGTCTCTCTTTACTGTGTGCACACGGTGTGATGTCTCAGTGTCTCTCTTTACTGTGTGCACACGGTGTGATGTCTCAGTGTCTCTCTTTACTGTGTGCACACGGTGTGATGGCTCAGTGTCGCTCTTTACTGTGTGCACACGGTGTGATGGCTGACGTTTGCAGGGACAGGTGAGCAGTTTGCAGACCCGAGTCAGGGCTGATTTTGCTGAAATGCACCAGAGTCTGACTGACAGAGAGCAGAGGGTAATGCGAGAGCTCAGACAGCGAGAGGAGGAGATTGTACACCGAATGGAGACAAATCTGCGAGAGATTCGGGACAAATTAGATTCTGTTCAACAAGAACTCTCAGAGTTACAGACACAGATGGAAAAAGACGCTCTCACCTTTCTGCAGGTAAAGAGATTACATTATAATTGAGTTCAGTCACAGTGACACACAGTCCGGAGCAGACAATCTAATTCTGATTGATAAAGAGATCAGAGATTGAATTGGTAATTGGGTATATTGTGGTGTGTGTCTGTCCGCGGGTCTCACTGTGTGTGTGTGGCTATAGCCTCACACAAACAGCACTTTATAGTGGAAATCCCATTGAGTGAGTGCCATCGCTGTGATAATGACAGAAACTCTGTGCTGTAGAAGTCTATTCTGTGTGTCTGAGTTTACAATGTGGTGTCTTACAAATGACACGTGGACATCGCCTTTCACCTCCAGCGCTTGGGCCGTCCTCCTGACGGGAAAGGCTCTACACATGTCATTTGTTGTGGTGGTGTCTCAGTGAGAGCTCACATCTGTCTGTGTTTGATCTCATTAGGAGGAAACTGCTCGGAACAGAAGGTATGAAATGTTCTTTACCAAATATCCCAGAATTTAATACACAAACACAATTTAATACACAACGTGTAGTTTCACTTTATAATGTGAACGTCTCTTATTTCAGGGTCAGTGACGGGGGTTTGGCACTGTCGGTGTGTGAGGCTGAGCTGCCGGTGGGGATATACAGAGGACCTGTACAGTACACAGCCTGGAGACAGGTGGGACACAGCATCAGCCCAGGTACACGGCCCCATCCGCACCCTGAAGCCATGTCAATAGCCTTACATTCACCTCCACCCTCACACACACCCTCACACACACCCTCACACACCCTCACACACACCCTCACACACCCTCACACTCACACACACTACACACCCTCACACACCCTCACACACACCCTCACACACACCCTCACACACCCTCACACACCCTCACACACCCACACACACACCCTCACACACACCCTCACACACACCCTCACACACCCTCACACACACCCTCACACACACCCTCACACACACCCTCACACACACACACACACACACACACACACCCTCACACACACCTCCACACACACACCCTCACACACACACCCTCACACACACCCTCACACACACCCTCACACACCCTCACACACACACACCCTCACACACACCCTCACACACACCCTCACACACACCTCACACACACCCTCACACACACACACACCCTCACACACCCTCACACACCCTCACACACACCCTCACACACACCCTCACACACCCTCACACACACCCTCACACACACCCTCACACACACACCCTCACACACACACCCTCACACACACCCTCACACACACCCTCACACACACACCCTCACACACACCCTCACACACACCCTCACACACACCCTCACACACACCCTCACACACCCACACACACACCCTCTCACACACACACACCCTCACACACACCCTCACACACACCCTCACACACACCCACACACACACCCACACACACACCCACACCCACACACACACCCACACACACACCCTCACACACCCTCACACACACCCTCACACACACCCTCACACACACCCTCACACACACACCCTCACACACCCCACACACACCCTCACACACACACCCTCACACACACCCTCACACACACCCTCACACACCCTCACACACCCTCACACACACCCTCACACACACCCTCACACACCCTCACACACACCCTCACACACCCTCACACACCCTCACACACACCCTCACACACACCCTCACACACACCCTCACACACACCCTCACACACACCCTCACACACACCCTCACACACACCCTCACACACCCTCACACACCCTCACACACACCCTCACACACACCCTCACACACACCCTCACACACACCCTCCCTCACACCCTCACACACCTCACACACACCCTCACACACACCCTCACACACACCCTCACACACACCCTCACACACCCTCACACACCCTCACACACACCCTCACACACCCTCACACACACCCTCACACACACCCTCACACACACCCTCACACACACCCTCACACACACCCTCACACACACACACCCTCACACACACCACACACACCCTCACACACACACACCCTCACACACACACACCCTCACACACATACACCCTCACACACACACACCCTCACACACACACACCCTCACACACACCCTCACACACCCTCACGCTCACACACCCTCACACACCCTCACACCCACACACACCCTCACACACACCCTCACACACACACACTCTCACACACACCCTCACACACACCCTCACACACCCTCACACACACACACCCCGCACACACCCTCACACACACCCTCTCACATACACACACACACCCTCACACACACACCCTCACACACCCTCACACACCAGCACACACCCTCACACACACCCTCACACACACCCTCACACACACACACCCAGCACACACACACACCCTCACACACACCCTCACACACACCCTCACACACAACACCCTCACACACACCCTCACACACACCCTCACACACACCCACACACACACCCTCACACACACACCCTCACACACACACCCTCACACATACCCTCACACACACACACCCTCACACACACCCTCACACACCCTCACACACACACACCCTCACACACACCCTCACACACACACACCCTCACACACACCCTCACATATACCCTCACACACACCCTCACACACACACAGCCTCACACACAGCCTCACACACACCCTCACACACCCTCACACACACACACCCGCACACACACACACACACACACACCCTCACACACACACTCCACACCCGCACACCCTCACACACACCCTCACACACACCCTCACACACACCCTCACACACACCCTCACACACACACACACACACCCTCACACACACCCACACACACACACACACACCCTCACACACACACACACACCCCGCACACCCTCACACACACCCTCACACACACACCCTCACACACACACCCCGCACACCCTCACACACACCCTCACACACCCTCACACACACACACCCTCACACACACACACCCTCACACACACACACCCTCACACACACCCTCACACACACACCCCACACACACCCTCACACACCCTCACACACACACCCTCACACACACCCCACACACACACCCTCACACACACACACCCTCACACACACACACCCTCACACACACACACCCTCACACACACACACCCTCACACACACACCCTCACACACACACACCCTCACACACACACCCTCACACACACACCCTCACACACACACCCTCACACACACCCTCACACACACACCCTCACACACCCACACACCCTCACCCACACACCCTCACACACACACCCTCACACACACACCCTCACACACCCTCACACACACCCTCACAACCTCACACACACCCTCACACACCCTCACACACACCCTCACACCCTCACACACACCCTCACACACACACACCCCACACCCCCCGCACACCCTCACACACACCCTCACACACACACACACACACACCCTGCACACCCTCACACACACACCCTCACACACACACACATCGCACACCCTCACACACACACCCCGCACACCCCGCACACCCTCACACACACCCTCACACACACCCTCACACACACCCCACACCCCCCGCACACCCTCACACACACCCCACACACACCCCGTACACACACACACCCTCACACACACACACCCCGCACACCCTCACACACACACACACACACACACACACCCCACACACCCCGCACACTCTCACACACACACACCTCATACAAACACCCCGCACACCCTCACACACACACCTCATACACACACACCCCGCACACCCCACACAACCTCACACACACACCCCACACACACATACTCACACCCCTCACACATGTACGTTCAACCCTCACCCACACACCTCACACACCTCACACACATGCGACCCTCACACAAATATCATTCACACACGCTCACAAACGTCCCTCATGCACACCCCTCACACACCCATACCTGACACATACACACCCCTCACACAGACCTGTCACACACACACACCTCACACACATGCACACTCACACCTCTCACACCCACACCTGTCACACACACTTCACACACCACTCACACTTTCACACTTATGCATCCCATATACTCACACATATCTCACCTCCATCATATACACACACCCTCTCACACACCTATCATACACACCCATCACATACACCCCTCACACACCCCTCACACCCACACACTCACATAGACAATGTGAACCTGTTTGCTGGACTCTGTTCCCAGATACCGTTGTGTCTACACCCTCACACACACACACACACACACCTCATACACTCACTCATCCCTCACATACACCTTCACACGCACACATACCCCTCACACACACCCCTCATACACTCTCACATACACACCCTCACACACATACCACTCACACACACTCCTCATGCACACTAACCCCTCACAGCCGCCCAAAACATACACACCTCTCACACTCTCACATACACACCCTCACACTTATACCACTCACACACAACCCTCACAAACACTCACCCATCACATGCCCCCACTTCTCACACACACCCCTCACATACACTCCTCATACCCCCCCCCCCCCACACACCACTCACACACAAACCCCTCACATACACCCCTCATAGCCCCCACACCCCACACGCACACTCAACCCACACACACAGGGGCACCTTCTCACATACATACAATCCCTCAAACACCCTCTCACACATACACCTCAAACACTCACAAGAACCCCTCACACACACTCACACACACTCACACACACACACTGTGACCCTTTGTGCTGTATTGTGTTTCCAGATGTGGATGTGTTTACACCGTCTGAACTTCCAGACGTCCCCTCACTCCACTTTGTGTTGTTTGTCTCTCAGCTCCGGCCGCTCTGACTCTGGATCCTGACACCGCCCATCCCCGGCTCATCCTGTCTGAGGACCTGACCAGCGTGAGAGACGGAGACAGATGGCAGCAGCTCCCGGACTCCCCAAAGAGGTTTAGTAAATATCTCATTGTCCTGGGGTCTGAGGGCTTCACATCAGGGAGACATTACTGGGAGGTGCAGGTGGCCAACAAGACAAAGTGGGACGTGGGATTGGCCCGAGAGTCTGTCAACAGGAAAGGAGACATCACACTGACACCAGAGAACGGAGTCTGGGCTGTGACCCTGAGAAACGGGGATCAATATCAAGTTTGTGCTCCACTGTGGACCCTCCTGCCCCTGAGAGAGAGACCCGGGAAGCTGGGGGTTTACCTGGACTATGAGGGGGGACAGGTATCATTTTACAACGCTGATAACATGTCTCATCTCCACACTTTCACCCAAACCTTCACTGAGAAACTTTATCCTTACTTTTATCCCGGTTTCAATGACGGCGGAAAAAATTCTGAACCGCTGAGGATCTGCCGAGTGACAGTTTCATGAGCAGAAAAACCTGAGCCATTAATTGTGTTTGACTGCGATTGCCATCAGGACAGAACCTTTTATAAACTGTGTAATTCTGGAGTAAAGCTTGTAGTTCATATTGTACCTTTCACGTTGGGACAACATCTCAAATCTTTCTCAGGGTTGACTGTAAAGTGACTACTGTGTTTGTAAGTGAATGTGGAGCCAATTTGCACAGAGCAAAGTCTACATTAAGTCACATTTCACACAAAAACATCCGGATCACACATTCATTCAGCTCCTGATATCTACAATAATAATCCTTACATTTCATACAGAGCCTTATCAAGACTTCCAGACCTCTCAAAGAGCTTCACAGGACACTGTAAAGTGTAGTGACTGTGTCTTTTATGGGCAAAAAATGGCAGCAAATTGCACACAGAGACATCCCACAAACAGTCGTGGATTGAGTGACAAAATTATTGTTATTATTTTTGGGAGTTTATTAACTCCGGAAAGTACTGAGATACAGAACTCCACTGAACGCTTCTGTGGGTGAGAAAGGGAGGGGCTGTGTGGGGAGGGGCTAGGTGAGGAGGGGGAGGGGCTGGGTGTGGAGGGGAGGGGCTGTGTGGGGAGGAGGGGCTGTGTGGGGAGGGGGAGGGGCCGTGTGAGGAGGGGCGGGCTGGGCGAGAGGGGCGGGGCTGGTGTGGAGGGGAGGGGCTGTGTGAGGAGGGGGCGGGCTGGGTGCGGAGGGGGCGGGCTGTGTGAGGAGGGGCGGGGCTGGGTGGGGAGGGGGCGAGGCTGTGTGAGGAGGGGCGGGGCTGTGTGAGGGGGGCGGGGTGGGTGAGGAGGGGGCGGGGCTGGTGGGAGGGGGCTGGTGGGGAGGGGGCGGGACTGGTGGGGAGGGGCGGGGCGGGTGGGGAGGGCGGGGCGGGTGGGGAGGGGGCGGGGCGGGTGAGGAGGGGCGGGGCTGGGTGGGGAGGGGCGGGGCTGGTGGGGAGGGGGCGGCGGGTGGAGGGGGCGGGGCGGGTGGGGAGGGGAGGGGCGGGTGGGGAGGGGGGCGGGTGGAGGGGGCGGGGCTAGTGAGGAGGGGGCGGGGCTGAGTGAGGAGGGGGCGGGGCTGGGTGAGGAGGGGGAGGGGCCGGTGGGGATGGGGAGGGGCTGTGATGGGCTGTGATGTCACTGAGGGTTTTATTTTATTTTATTGCGATGAGAATATACGGTTTAAACGCTTCAGGAAACCCCTTATGACCCGTTTTCTGTTCCCACAACTACAACAGTCACTTCACTGAATGGGGGGAATTGGAAACGCCCCCAAGTCCCGGGGACAGCAATGGCGGTGCGGCTGCAGTACCGCACATGGCCGCAGGTGGCGGTGCGGCACTGGAACTCCTCCCTGTGTTCACAGTACAACACCGCCCCCAGTGGCTGACGGCGGTATTACAGCTCAACAGTCACTTCATCAATTCTTCCCTTTCCATCACCGACACCAAACGGCCTTTATTTCTCCTCCTTCACGGAGTGTCGCCATCGGAGCTTTTCCTCAGTGTTGTGTTATAAGTGACACATCCGTTGTTGTCCTTTTCCTGCGTTTATATCAATAAAGACTGAATCCCACGACAGTCACTTTACCCCTCGGGCCCTCGGTCTGGTTATCACCATCTAATGCTGAGAGCGGTCAGACAGAGACATCCCTTCTCCTCCATCTCTCGCGGTGGCTGTTGTGGGTTTGAGGAACAGAACCATTCACTGTGAGTTCCTTTGGGTTCAAATTCCAAATCAAAACCTACAGTTCCACTTTGCTGCCGCCAGAGGGCGGTGTTGCACTGTGTGACTTCCCACCAGGTTCTCAGTCACTTCACTTGTCCTCCTTGAGGGGAGGGGAGCAGTGTCTGTGTCTGTGTGTCTCTCTGTCTCCCTTATAGGTATCTGAGATGGAGAGGAGACCCCCCCCTCCCCCCGCACACAGGGCTGTTGGAGAGGGAGAGGAGCCGCCATGGCCCCCACTCTCTCCTGGACTCCTCACTGTCGCTCTGATGGTCAGTGTGGATGAGGTGAAGGACACATGACTATCACTTGATGATCTTTGACCCTTATCTGTGTGTATTACCAGTGGTGTCCCTCTGTCCTGTGGACTGCATTGCACCCACAGAGAGGTGAGCAGCTCCTGCTCAGGAGCAGCATCTGTGATGGTGGAATCATTGCTCAATGGAGAGCGGTGTGTGGACCCACGACAAACAGCAAGATCATGGCACTGCTCCCACACATTTCATGCTGAGTTGTGTTGGCCACCAGGAAGCTCGGAGGGAGTTACTCTAACCTGCCATCAGCCGAGTGAGGGCTGAAACCCGCACTTGTCTGATATCGAATGACAAACTGGACTGTGCGGCTCAGGACACATACGTGGGGTGTCCATGGAGCTCAACTGGCTCCAAGTTAACAGCCTTCAAGACCTTTATGAAGTTACCACTGCAATCTCCTCAACCAGTAGTGACCTGTGTGCTTCCATCACCCAGCACGCCTCGGCATGTTTAATGATCCCGCCCTACCGGTCCCACCATCAGGTCATGGGCTTTTGGCCAATCTGCCGCCCATCCTCTATAACTCAGCCCCAGAGAACCCTCAAACCCTTCATGAGGGGCACTTTATTGATGCAAATTGTTGTTGTTATTGTCTTTGAACCCAGGATTCACTCGCGCACACACCCCTTTACGGTCCGTATCAAGAGCTCCCGCATTGACCACATCCTTGTTTATGTTTCCCTTCCCTGACCCCATGTCGGGTCTCAATGATTCATGTTCAAGTGTCTGAATGTAATGTGTTTATAAACTCGATGAGATCCCATGCTCTATCCCTCATGAGTTTGCTATATAGATGCAATTTATATTTCTTGTCATTTCTGTAAAACGTTTCAATAATGTTGTTCTGCTCGTTCTGTATTTAGTTTATTCGACGCTTTATTTTTTATGTATTTATCTTCAATTCACAATAACCAATGTAATCGAGTATAAGATGTGCAATTCTCAAGTGAATACATTATGTTGTTTGTTCACATGTCTGGAACTAATTGCATTTGTGATCCACGCTGTAGATTCGTTGCTTCAAGTACAAATGTCTTTGAGTGTGACCTCAGAGTGTTCATTGAAGCCTCTGCCTTCAGCCACACAATGTCGTAGTGTAAAACAGAGTATGGAACTTCCAATACTGTACGCAATATTGGCCATTTACTACCCCATTCTTGTAGCGTTTGGAATTCCAGGTATGTCTATTTGGTCACATTTATTAGCAATATTCAGTAGATTACTGCAATGGGCAGAAGAAGTTTTCTGAAGTGACATATCAGGTTATTCAAGTTGGTCGGAAAAGGAGAGAGAGGAATATGTATTGAATATTGTAAGGTGCAGAGCAGCAAATGGATTGGGGAGTGCAGGTACATAAGTCCTTGAACATAGTGACATAAGTGGAAAAGACGGTGATTAAATGTTTACAAAGATTTAGAAAAATTTACAAAGAAAGTACAGCACAGAAACAGGCCACTCAGATCAACCAGTCCGTGCCGGTGTTTATAACCACTTGGGTCTTTACTCCCTCCCATAGCCTCTATTCCTCTCTCTCTCACGTGAAGGTCTATGGTCCTCGTGAATGCAGCGAATAAAATCATCGATTCAGGCAACAACTCCTGCCCTCTGTGTGAAGCAGTTTCTTCTCCTTGCCCTCTGCGGGGCAATCTCCCTCAATCTCTCTGCCCTCTGCGTGAAGCAGTTCCTTCTAATTTTTATTTTTTTATCCCATCGTCACTGTCCCTGGTTACTGACTCCCCCAAAACAGCCCCAAATTGGCACAACCCTCACGACAGGATAGATCCCCAACTGTCGTTCCTACCCCACATCCCTGACCACAATCACTCGACTTCACGTCCACCCGTTGCCCACCTCAGACCCTGTCTCACACTCAACAGCTGAAACCCTCGTTGATTGACGGATTGATTTCAAAGTCCTCAATCTCACTCACAAATGAGTTTGGGTCCCAGCACCTCCTCAGGTCCCTACTTCTCTGACCTGCTTACACCACACAGCTCTAAGCCCTTTCACTCAGCTGCCTTGCCTTCGGCATGTCCCTTGCCCGCTTTGCTCTGCCATCGATGACTGGGGTTTCAGCCGCTACTCATCTCAAACTCTGGAACTCTCTGCCTCAATCTCCCGACTGTGTTCCTCTAAGGTGACAGAGACATAGCGCATTTGGGGATTGAAGAGGAAAGGAGATCAGTATATGAAGGATAGAGCCTCGAAAAGGTATGAGGATAACAAGAGCAGCAAAGCTCAATGCACACCTTCATCTGTCAGTCCGTGCAGACTCGATGGGCCGAATGGACTCCTTTGTGTTATACATTTCTCTGATTCTGTTATACCTTCTCTGAATTTGAATGGTTTCAAAGCTGCCATAAGATATGTGGCTCTTAAACCAGGTTTTAGGAAAGGAACTGATTAAGTGTGAGTCTGGCTGACAGGTCACACTGAGCCACATTGTATAGCAAAAGCTCCATACGTCGAATCATTCCTTGTGAAACAGATTTCTTTTTTAAAAAATCCTGATATTGGTGTTTTCTGGTCTTCCACATTCCTATTATACATAGAGAAGAGGCCTTAGAGTTCCAAAGCACAGTAGCAATAATGGGCAATGTGTTTTAACATAACGAGGGTTTATTTATATAATTCAGTGGTTAATTTTGCTTATTATGGATGATAAATAATTACACAAATTTATAAAATTGTTATTCGCCATTTCTTGGTTTACATATTTCATCTGATTTTTGAAACACTGTCGAAGTTAACAAATTCAAAAATCATCTCCGTTCCTCTTGGAATATTACGCAGTGGTTTCCTCAGTACCAGACTGCTATTTGCTGAGGTATTGTGCACTTGGTATATGTGAGAAGATAATAATAATAATCCTTCATTTAATAATTGGTATCAAGATGACATTTCAGAAGATCACTGGATTCTGCATTTTACAGGATGATAAAAATCCAAGAGAGGTCGGAACGTTAGGCCCAATTTGCTACTGCAAATAATGTATTGATTCAATAACGTTTACTGAATTATTAAAGGTGAGGCTATTCGACATACGTGAATGAGATGTGCAAGTATTCTGGGATAGTCACTGAGTTCGAAAGCAATTGAAACAATTTGAAGAAAACGCTGCTGAACATCACACAGAATTACATTTCTAATCAAACACTTTAATGCAAATGAATAATTCCCGTTGAATAATCAATAATCCTTTGAGGATGTCCCTCAGCACTTTACAGGATTTACTGCAAAATGCACGAACTATATTTTGTGTACGA